TGTTATCCAGTCCTTTCTGTTTGACTTCCAAATTATGGGGAGATGAGACTTAACGTAGCCCCTCATTGCTCTTGGGTTTTCACTGTGGTAGGCAAGCAAGGGTTTCAACTTGTAATCACCTTCTGCATTTTTCCCAAGCAGGAGGGTTAAGCAGTCCTTTGAGGCTTTGAATCCGGGAGCAGTCTTCTCATCATGATAAATATAAGTCCTCGTTGGCATCTTCTTCCAGTAAAGGCCCATCTCATTGTTTTGGAGAATAACCACCTTCTGAAACAATTTTCTTTAGCTGCACAGGAAACATTTCAGCCACTTCTTCATCCACATTAGCCGCTTCTCCTGTGAGTTTTACATTATGTAGATTGGCATGCATTATGTAGATTGCACATAGCATCACATGGAATCTGTGGAACCACCCATGACTAGCATTGAAGGTCTCCTTTACTGCTATGGAGCTCTCCCCCTCTCCTTCCTTTAAATCATTATACAGGCTTCTGGCCTTTTCCTGAATCAAGCTTAAACTCACAGGCATTTTCTTTTGATGGAGGTCATCAATCCAATCAGCCAGCAAACATTCCATCTTCTCCATTGTACTGCTTCTCTGTTTTGTTATCTTCATCTATGACAATTTCATAGCACTTCTAGTGCTCTCATGAATTTGATCAGCACTCTTAAAAATCCTGTGTGTATCGTCATAGCAGGCAAACAGAGAATAAGAGGAATGTTGGCTGCATGCCCACTTCTTTCAGTACGCTTTATAACATCTAATTTCACTTCTAGTGTTACACTTTTACATAGCCTCTTAGACACAGGCCCACTCTCAAGACTTTGAACACGTTTTCCACTCATGATGGGTAGTACTGTATAGTACTGTACTCACAGCCTGCCCCGCCTCTTCTTGCCCAGTTCTGCCGCATTCTCCAAGCTCGCCCCCTCCCTGCTCCTTCGTCTCCCTTCCAGTGTCTCCTGCATGCCGCTGAACAGCTGATCGTGGCAGGCAGGAGGCGCTGGGCGGCGGGGGAGAGGAGTTGATCTCGGCAGACAAGAGGTGCTGGCTGCCGGTGGGTGCTAAGCACCCACAGAAAAGCAACAAAAAAAGTGAAGCAAGTAAATTACAAAAGACAGATACGCAGATCGGGACCAACATGAATCGGAACACATTCCCCTATTGATGAGCGAAGGATATGCGAAACGATGGATAAGGGGAAGATGCATAGCAGGGACCCCCTGTAATCACTTAAAATCTATATCCTTTTGTAGTTAATAAACTTATTTTATGTTTTAATCCAAATCAGTGTGTGTTTGACTCAGGTGTCTGGGGAAAATCTCAGCTTGGTTACCACAAGTGTGCATGGTCCTCTTCACATTGAGGGACAGGCGGATTGGGTATTAAACCCATATACTGGCCAGATTTGACCAGAGCAGGACAGTACTGCTCTGGGGTCCAAGGCCGGGAGGCTCGTGGTTAAAGAGCCTGCATGTAACTGCAGCTGGGTGTGTCCCTACCTGTGTGAATGCTGCTGAAAGTGCAAGCTGGGAGGGCTTTGCAATTTGTCACAGTAGCACAGTGTGAGGGGGAGCCCAGGCTGCTGGGTCAGACGGCTCAGTGGTATGCCAGTTCCAGGTGGCACCCTGGGGGAACCCATCACACATAGCATCTGTCACATCTCAATATAATAGTGTGTAATAGTGTGAATATTCCATGCTTCCAAAACATCACATCTGTCTCTCATAGGCCTCATGCTGGCTCTCTGCAAAAGGGTGAATTTTAATCTGTGCAGCTATTGTGAGTGTCAACAGGTTAGGGGCACGGTAGCCATCTCAATACAACAGAATAAATAATCTATTAGATCCTATGTGATTTAACAATAACTAACTGTATTGATGGTTAAAAAATGTTTAATATAAACTAATAGCAGAAAGCTAAAAATTGGATGAAATGCAACACAAAAACTGCCATACACTGAACTGGTGACACCACATACCCGCAAAGCTCATAGTCCAAAGGTGGGCAAACTACGGCCCACGGGCCACATCCAGCCCGTGGCAAAGTCCTGCCCGGCCCCTGAGCTCCCGACCGGGGCGGCTAGTCCCCGGTCCCTCCCCCGCTGTCTCCCCTCCCCCGCAGCCATGCTGCTGCACGGGCAGCGCTCTGGCCTGCCACTCCAGTCGGGCAGCGCAGCGGTGTGGCTGGCTCTGGCATGGTAAGGGGGCGGCGAGCGGGGGTTAGATAAGGGGAAGGGGGTCCCCAGGGGCAGTCAGGGGACAAGGAGCAGGGAGCAGTTGGATGGCGCAGAGGTTCGGGGGGGCAGTCAGGGGACGGGGAGCAGGGGGAGTTGGATATGGGGTGGGGTTCCCGAGGGGCAGTTAGGGGCAGGGGTGTGGATAGGGGTCGTGGCAGTGAGGAACAGGGAGCGAGGGGGATAAGGGGTGGGGTCCCAGGGGGTGGAGGTTCTGGGAGGAGGGTCAGAGGACGGGGAACAGGGTGGATTCGATAGGGCATGGAAGTCCCGAGGGGCCTGTCAGGGAGTGGGGGTGTGAATAGGGGTCGTAGTAGTCGGGGACAGGGAGTGGGGGGGGTTGGATGGGGAGACCTGGGGGGGGCAATTAGAGGCGGGGAGTCCTGGGATGGGGCGGTCAGGGATCAAGGAGCAGGGGGGGTTGGATGGTTCGTGGGTTCTGAGGGGGGCGGAAAGTGGGAGGGGGCGGATAGGGGGCAGGGGCCAGGCTGTTTGGGGAGGCACAGCCTTCCCTATCCAGCCCTCCATACAGTTGCGCAACCCCGCTGTGGCCCTTGGGCCAAAAAGTTTGTCCACCCATGTCATAGACAAATGAAAGTGTGATTTTAGAAGCATTCTATATCTGTAGTAAGTTCATTCCAAAATAAGTTGTGCTATTCTGAATTTACGTTTAAATAGGTGAGAATCTAAAACAAAGATCCCATAAAAGATTAAAATTGAATCTAGGTCAGCAAAACAAGAGTAGTTAGGGAATTCACACTGGAAAAAAACTTGAGTCCAGGAGATGGTTTTCAAGGTTATTAACACTGCCTTACATTCAGCCATATGAAGAAGATTAAAAAAGAATGTATATATATTGCTAGGTTTAGACAACATGGTGATCTTTGTAATTCATCCTTAATTACATCTATTATTGTGTTAGTTTATGTATGTTAGCATATATCTTCCCCCATGTAGGGACATATCCCGTCACACATCAGGACGAGCCTAAGAATGGAATTTAAGACTCTGCTGGCAATTTAATTAGTTTTAATGCTGCAAGGATAAGTAGCCTGCCAGCATTAATGGCCAATACTTTGTTTACAAAACAGATCAAGAAGTGAGAGCCATCAAAACAAATGACCTCAACTGCTCAAGGTTAGGGAACTTAAAACATAAAGTTTGAAACAGGAGTCTGAAAAGATAGCGATAATAGTTGGTATATTTCCTTTTGCATGTTGAGTTCCTTTCCAGGAAACTCCTGTATTATCAAACTCATTCCCACAAAACCATTAATGATATTGAAGATATTTTTAAGATGTAAGTATTTGTTGAAATAGTTTATTCAAATTTCTCTGTGGGGGTGTTCATACGCTGTTCATTTGATATTTGTGGTGTGTGATTAGTCACCAAAGTCGCATGATATTGTTTCTGCTCTTTGAATGGATGAGTTAAATTTAAATTATCATAATGAACAAATAGCCTCTGGTGTGATTTTTTTTAGATAAATTGTTCATGTGAATTTCAAGATTCATTTACACTTTCACCAGCACACTGTGGCCATATGAAAAAATGGCCACACAAACAGGGACCAAATACACTTCAATACATGAACCACGTCTGTATTATTCAAACACAAAACTATGATTACTCTGTGGTTAATATTCCATACAACTATATGAATAACCCAAAATTTGATTTGCTGGTCCTACCTCTCTCCTGTTACAGTGTTAAAAGAATTTTTTTTTTTTTTTAAAGCTCACTGTTGTCAAGGGAGCCAGAATTCCAGTAACAAATTGGTCCTTTTAACGTATTCAAAACAACTTAAAGTGAAACTCCAAAAGGACTCTAAATATGGCTTAAGGCGTGGACTTTTTATTTAGTTTCGACTTCTGGATATGCAACAACAACAAACAATAAACAATAAATATAGTTCTTTTATAATTTGATAAAAGTGACATTTCCCCAATTTAAAAAAGTTTATAAAAATACTTCAGGCTTAACAATACCATGTTCAGAAATTTAAAAACAAAAATCCCCAAAACCCACCCACATACAAATACCTGGAGTCTGATCCTTCTCCACTTAGAGAGACAAAGTGGATGAGGTAATATCTTTTATTGGCCCAACTTCTGTTGATGAGAGACACAATATTTCAAGCTTACACACAGCTCTTCTCCCATTAGTTGTTTGCATATTTTAATGATTTGCTCATGTGAGTAAAGGATGCAGGATTTGGCCTCTAACAAATATATTTCTTAAAATGGGATTTTATCTTGACAACACTGACACTTTAATTAGAGCAACACTAGGGGGCACTGCTGTAATAGTCTTTATATGATGTTTGTAAACATAAGTGCACTTCTTTCCACACATTTTAATTTCTTTTGGTTTTAACAAGATTGCAGAATTTGTTGGTTTGTTTTAATATTGAAATGGTAGAAATTAAACTTGGTTGCAATTAAATTGCTAACTTGAATTATAATTAGAAAATTTTATAATGTAAACGTTCCTATGTCAACAGCCAGCATGAATGTTCAGGATACCAATGGTTCTTCTTTGGGCCAGATTTTGCCACTTCTACTCCCCTGGAGTAGGACCACACTCTTGGAGTAGTCCCATTGATTTCAATATGACTCAGTATCAGTAAGCACAGCAGAACTAGCCCCCATATGATGTTATCTAACACTAGGAATCCAAATAGCCATTTTGTATTCTCAGTGCAGTGGGGAAGCAGTTTCTTCACTGGAAATAAACGCATTTCCTGGGAGGTTAAAATAGTACCTGAGTTGTCCCCATAATGTCTGAGCCTTGTGCACGTTGCAGGCATTCGCAAGTAGCAGCAGTGGATGAACTTGCAGTGGTTACACTCGCACTTCAGAGGATGTGAAATCCTAAGATGAGGAGTCAATAGAAATGGGGAAAAATATGATAAAAATGCAAAAAAAAATCCACCCCCATCAAAAAAAAGGAAAGTATAAATCCATGTGGTGTGCACATAAAACAAAAATAAAACCATGGTCCCAAGCAGCATTTAATTAAATTGATCACAGCAATGTAGCAGGAAAGCAAGCAAACACAGAGACTGCACATCAACAGTCAGACCATGGAAAAAGCTTTAGATGTGTTTAACTTTGCCACTGTGTAGTTGTAACAGTTCTCATCACTTCTTCTGCTCTTTACATGGAAAACCATGAGCTAGTTCCGATTGGATTACAGACAGAATTTAGTGTCTGATTCCTCTGCTTGTGCATTTGCTAAATAGAGTATGTATTGTACATTGGATGCTTACATACAAGTATTGGATTAAAATAAGTATTGCTGTTTCTTAGACTAATCAACGTAGCATTATATTTCATAAATAGCCCCCAACAAACTGAAAATGCAATCCACTAACCTTTCCCTTACAAATCCCAAGAAATGTGAGGCGCATCTCACATAAAAAACAAATAGTGTTTTAATTAAGAAAAAATAATTAATGTAACTTTTCTGATTCTACCAGACAATATATCCTAGGTACAAATCAATAAAATGAGCAATGAGATCACAGTCAATTATGTGGTGAAAGAGAAAAAATATCCATTTCCATTCCCCAGAAAATTAAATACTGGGCTAGATTGTGACTTGGGTTATATGTTCTTGCAGAGATCCCTCTGAAACCTCTACATGGGCTACCCAGACCTTGAGTGTATCCTCTACTCCCCACACTGAGCCAAAGGGCAGGGAATGGACAGTCTTGACTCTAAAAAAAGGAGTACTTGTGGCACTTGTGGATGCACCGGATGAAGTGAGCTGTAGCTCACGAAAGCTTATGCTCAAATAAATTGGTTAGTCTCTAAGGTGCCACAAGTACTCCTTTTCTTTTTGCGAATACAGACTAACACGGCTGTTACTCTGAAATGTGGCACCTTAGAGACTAACCAATTTATTTGAGCATAAGCTTTCGTGAGCTACAGCTCACTTCATCGGATGCTTATACTCAAATACATTAGTTAGTCTCTATGGTGCCACAAGTACTCCTTTTCTTTTTGTGGATACAGACTAACACGGCTGCTATTCTGAAACCAATCTTGACCATGCCACCTAGTGGAATCTACAGCTCTGAGTTAGGCACCCAGGCTCCCTACACAATGCATGGAGAGAGATAGGTGCCTAAGTACAGGATTCACAGAAGTCAGCATGCTGAGCAGGGAGCTGCCTAAGGCAGCTAATAGAAAATGCTAAGAAGAGGGGTGTTGCCTGATCCCTGCCTAACTCAAAGGGAGTTAGGCATTTAATGGGAGGAGTCTCCTTCTGCTCAAGATTCTCAGCCTTGAACTTCTTCCTGGACTTAGTGCTGACCTGGATTAGGCACCCTTTTCACTACATATACATATATACACACACAGTTTCAAATCATTCATTGGGGCATAACGGGAGTGAGAATTGACTCTAGAACCTGGTGATTAGGGCACACAGCTGGGAGGGGGTGTCCTGGGTTCTGGTCCCTGCTCCAATTAATATTTAATTATCTTGTAAAAAGTGGAACAGCTTTGACAAGAGAGATGGAGAGCACCCCAGAATGACCCCGTGGCTAGGGTATGTTACTAGGAGATCTGGGTTCAAATCCCTGCTCTGAATCAGGGGATCAGCATGGGGATTTGAACCCAGGAGAGCCACATCCTGATGAGTGCTCTAGTTATTGAGTAAAGGGGGTGAGGAGCATCACCATGTCTTCCTTCAGCAGTGTTTTATGTGGCACTTGATCTGATAGGCAGCCTCTGGGCATGCCCTCTGGATCGGGCCCCGCAGACAAAATAGGCCAGGGAATACCTAGTTTGTGAATCCTGCTGGGGCTTAGCTGCGAGCTAGGTGCCAGGTGTCAGGACTGAGGGAACTTTGCACATGCTCAGTGGCAGAAACATGGGTGCCTATGGGAATCTACTGGCAAAATCATCGGCACCTAGGGAATTTAGTTCCCCCAGAGTTAAAGGGTAGCTGAGCAGGGTTTTGAGGGTCTAAATTTTTGATTTAGGATGCTAAGTCCCTTTGTGGATCTAGTCCAAGGTTCCTGGGGCTAGCCTTGGAATGGTGCAGTTTACACTCTGCCCACTGCTTGGGGCTGTGTCTAACAGCACACTCCAGCCCTGGGCCTGGAAAGCAGCTATAGCTCCTTAGATTTTTAAAAGTTAAAAGGAACAGAAAGCAGCTAAAGAAAAGCTTAACAAAGAAATATATTGCACCCTATTTTTTACACAGTGGTTATTTTTAATAAAATGCTTACTGCTATAACAATAAATGCATCTGTATTATTGACATAAAAACGTGCCTCTGCAACACTGGATCTCTTTGACATTATTTAAAATAACAATAAAACAAAAACAAACAGGGAGAAAATCCCCAGCTGAAAAACTCCAACAGATCTCCATCCCCAACACAACCCGATGGGACAGTCTGAGGAACATAAGTCTGATGGGAAAAGAAATAGTCAGTCCTGAAAGGGATGGGGAAGAATCTTCAATTGGTATTGGGACTTCCAGTTTTCAGTAGTCATTGCAGTAAACAGTGTATGTTTAAATACATGCACAAGAAGAAAGAGAAGAGAAGGGACTAATTGGGTGGAAATAGCCCCAGCAGCTATGACTATATAAGCAAACCGGAAGGCTATGCTGGGAAGGCAGAAGCAGGCAAGACTGGTTGCTACAGTATTCTCTAGAAGTAAGTGAAAAGGCTAGCTACTGATTGTAAGTATAACATATAATAAGGCACAGTGGTGGTTAAAAAGAGCTGGAGGAGTTGTGGTCAGTGACTGATATTGAAAAGAACTCAGGGAACTATCCTATGACAGTACCCTACTGCCAGGCTAAAAGTTACCAGGGAACTCCTACTCCTTCCCTTCTTTGTGGGTTTTTGGGAGAGGAATACCTATGTTCCCCTAGTTCATGCATTGTTCTAGAGTTTAGGAGTCTAGATGCCATTGCCTACACTGAGGCTGCAGAAGCAGAAACATAGGCACATAAACAAAAATCTAGCCACCTACAAGGTTTGCGAGTGGCTGAGCAAGAGTTTTATGAATCCCTGTGGGGCCTGATTCTGGGATGTAGGTGCCTAAAGTGGTAGGTAGACCCTTAAGTGAAGTGAAGTCCTTTTGTGAATCTAGCCCTCTATGCTTCAGTTCCCTATTTGCTAAATGGGGGTGTTATGAACATAAATATATCAAAGGCTGTGAGATGCTCACATAAGTACCAAAGATAGATGTAAGAGTATGTGCTTCTTTTTTTTTTAAGGCTAGTTCTTTGGTTTGACTTACAACTGAATTTTTACATTAGCAAAAAAACTTGTAATTTTTCAACACAAGTTCATTTTTATAAAAGAACCAGTAGTATGACTTTCATATAGCCTTTAGGATCAAAATAAAAATTAGCGTGACTTTGCCTACCAGCATTAAACATTAAATCACAACTCTTCTTCCATCACACTGACAAATATTATCTGCATACACCAAATCATTTGTATACGTTGCAGCTTCCCCGCTACATGTTTCACTGTACATACTATGGACTAGACCCTCACCTGCTATAAATTGGTGCATTTCCACTGAAGTCAAGGGAAACACTGATTTACACCAGTTGAGACTCTGGCTTTACATTGAAAACGGAGTTCATCGTTCAAGAATAAAGTTACAATCTGGCTCTCCCAGTATTTTAGCTCATATTCACATGGAATGATTTCACATATATTCTGAACAAACTGGAAGATACCAAAAGAACTGATGATTAACAATGGATCCAACCACGCGTGGCACACAATCATAAAAACACAAACTGTATTGACCATAGTCCTTGTGTTATTTAAAGGTGAGGGTGGGCCTTTAGACAATGTTGTGGTTTTCTCAAAGAACATTAAGAGTTAGAAGCCTCAAAATTCAAATGCCAGTTTGTACTTTAAATATCATATCACCTATACAAGCTTGTTCTGCCTCTGCATCAGTGTCACAGAACCAAAAAAACAGAGTCAATCATATCATGACCAGATATACATCCTAATAATACGTGACTAGATAGTGACTTGGACTATGTGCCTTTGCAGAGAATAAGAAGGAGTAAGAGAGCCTCCCCTTAAACTTCTCTGTGGGCCACTCAGGCCTTGGAGCCAGGCCTACATGGATAACCAGGTACTGCCCACCTATTTACTTGAGCTGCCAAAACTCTCAGAGCAAACTAGCAGTAGACTTCACATTTATGTAAAATCTCTCTTTATATATATGCATAAATGTGAACTGATTTGCATAAACATGCCTTGAGATGCTCAGAAAGAGGTGAAGGGGGACAGAGTGAGAAGGGAGAGAGAGACTCCAGTAATTCATCCTCTACCTGCTTCCACTCCCTCCCCCCCATGGAAGCATTTCATTCTTCTTTCCCATCTCAGCATCAACATTTCACACCAACCCCCACCTAAAAAAACCAAACTTTGTTGTGCTAAAAATAAACAAATCCCCAACCAATTTCACATCAAAAAGCCCCCTCCCGCCCCCGACTTTTGGAGACCCATGGAATGGAGATCAGTGCAGGGAGGATCATCTTTTCTTTCCAACCTCCCAAACCTGGGGGGAGGGGGGCTAAGATGGACTTGAAGATCTAGGAAGATCTTGGAAGCTGGACTTGAAGATCTAGGTAGATCTAGGAAGATCTTCACTCTCCCCACTTCTCTCTGTGCCCCCCGGACAGCACAGGGAACCATAACAGGACCTGCAGAGCCCGTAGGAACAGCTGATCCCTAACTGGCTGTACTAAGAAGTACCCTCAGCCCATTGGCTGGGAAGTGGGAAGCAGAAGCTCTTCAGGCTTCCTGACTTGAGACACTAGGCTGACCCTGAGCACAGAAAGCAGTTTTGATTGGTTGCTCCTCTTCATGG